ACCACAAGCACTCTTTTCTGCCTTGGAACTGTGAGGAGGATTCCCTTTCCACCACCCTCACAAGCTCCACCATGCCAGCACTCCTGCTTCCCCAGGATCGCCACCCAGAACTGTGACCCAGATCCAAGCAAGAGAATCCTGCCTCAGCATCAGCAAAGAGACCCCTGTAATCCCCCTCTGATCAGCCACTTGATTCCTCCTCCATCTGTGGGCTGAGAGCTCAGGAAACAGCCGCTGCTCTGGGGCTACGTCAGGACTGGGGCTTCTTTCTCACCGAGGTCAAAGACCTTTCCTACTGACCTTCTAAGTTGTTTTTGGCATTTGTGGGTTGAGAAGTCTGGAAACTGCCACAGCTGCCCATAATTCAGTCCCCTAAGGCCTGCTCCAGCTACGCTGAGGCCTGGTCTTTGCCTGTGTGCCCATGCTGAACTGTGCTCCTCTGCCAGCCTGGTGTGAGACCTTTCCAATCAACCATCCAGGCTGTTTTGGGCTGGAAATTTGTTTCACTCTGTATTTTTGTGGGCTCTGCTGCTCTAGAATGAGTTTAGAGCCATTTTTATAGGTATTTGGAGGGGTTTGGGGGAGAGCTCAAGCAAGTCACTGCTTTTACTCTGCCATCTTGGCTCCACCCCCACAATGAAACTTTGAAAGGCAGTCCCCAGAGAGGGTGTGAAGGTCTTGGCTCTGTGGAGAGTTTCAGCCTGGGCAAGTGAAGAGAGTCTCTGCATTGGGGCAGAAATGGTATCCTTCTCTCCATATCCCTGCCAGTAGCATACCCCATACTAGTTCTGGTTCTGGGGATATTTGCTGCCAATGAACCACGAGTTCTTCTAGCAGTGCTGCATGGTTACAAATCTTGGAACACTACAATGTCTGATCAAAGTTATAGGTGATGCAAAGAGAGATGAAGAGATACACGATGGGTATAATGAGTTCCTAAATGTCAGAAATGGCCTGAGGGATATCACTGAGAAGATGAATGATTTGTAAAGGTGAACTGTTCTTTGGCTAGAGTTAGGGACAACAAACAGATATACAGCCCAGGTTCTGCACAAGTTCTCCTTTAGGCAAAAAGACCTAAAGGAAAGATTTTAGTATGTTAGGTAGATCGTCTTAGCAAATTTATGGGAGAATATGGATAATAATTACTCAGAATGCAAAGACTTGGATGGGTTGTAAACTGTCAATAGAAGGAATACTCATATTGATGAAATTGCAAAGCTCTTCAAGCATTATTATTTGTTTTTATCACCCTATTAGGCTGTAAGTTCTGTGATGGTAAGGGACCACAGCTTATTGAAGCTTTATATCCATTTAGCATCATAAACAGTATATGCTTAATAAGTATTTAGTCACTAGAAGAAACTTCTGGCCACTTCCATGATCTTTTTCAATAATAAGAATCTTATTATTGCCATAATAATGGCAATCCCATTCTCATTTCAGTGCCTATGGAGATCACCCATCACTAGTGTTCTTATGGTTCTCAGAGAACTGGTTGCTTCTTTCCTCTGGGCCCATTCTTTTTTTAGGTAGCACTGCATTCTTTATTATTCTATGGATGAAGTGTGTGGATTTACTTTATTGGACTCTTGATTTTGCCCTCTTCTATTAATATGTTTAATAAAGTCACACTAGGACAATATAATAGAATGATCAAGCAAGAATGGTTTTAACTGTATGTAGTTCCTTATTTATAATCAAAGACTCAAAAGGAATACAGTTACAATTACTACCACATGAGCTACATGCTTACTGCTTCTCCCAAACTAAGGTGGCCCTTAAACCAGTATATAGGCAGGGAGTTCTATGGACATAGTTCAGGTACTTTGACTCAGACCTCATTATTGATTTCCCTTACTGGGAACTAGTAAGTGTCCCCCAGTTGATTTTTCATTCATGACCTCTCAAAGGGCCAATATCCAGTCAGTGGGGAAAACTTGAGACTCAAGGTACTGATTCCTCCCACAGCTGCTTTTCCTTAATCACCTCTCTGTTGGTGGCAAATATGTTTGATTCTGCTCTCTGACTGCTTCTTAGATTATCTGACTCATGGGCTGGTATGAATAGGACTGCAATAGCTCCCCAGAGTTTCTTCCAAGTTAGTGGAACAGTAGAGTGGGCTCAAAGGCATGTAGAGAGATATTTTCCTATCCCCTATTTCTCCATCTAATCATTGAATCTCATGTTTCCTGGTCACCTCTTAGATTGTGTCCTTCTTCCTCTTTTTCTTTTCCAACTTGAAATGTCCATACTCAGCCACCTGCCTGGGTGGTTCCCATTCACTTAACTGATGGGAGAAGGGCCCAAGGTTGAACAGTAATAAATGAACATCTGTAACATGCAAGCCTGTTCATTTTCTGCAAAATTGTTTGATGCTGTATCCAGGGCCTTCCACATCTCTTAAAGAAAGAAATTAACTAGTCTACAAGTCTCTGGCCTTTTTCATTTTTTAACCTTGAACCATTTTCTTTCACTGTCTTCTCTAACATCCACTTTCATCCTGGAGTTACCAAGTATCAATGTAAACCAATGCTGCCTTGGTTCGAAGAATCTTGTCTGGTTGTTCATAGATGAATCCTTTTATCCTTTGCAATAGCTGATACCACATAAGCTGCCATTATTTTCAGCTATTGCAAAGGATGAAAGTTGAGCCTTTCTGTACTTAGCTAGGCAGATCTTCAGATAGCAGACACAATCTGTTATTGAGACTGTACTCTGCCTTTTTAGCTTAGGTAGAGCCTACCAAAGCTTGCATTTTGTTGGCACCAATCAACAAGCCTTTATTAGGCTCCTAGCCAGGCTCTGGGGATACAAAGAATGAAACAGTCCTTACTCTCAAAGAGCCTACATTCTAAGGGGGGGAAATGTATATGTGTGTGTGTGTGTGTGTGTGTGTGTGTGTGTGTGTGTGAATATACTCACATATACATGTAGATATACACACACTACAGTATATGTATTTATAAATATAAATGCTAACAAATGCAAAGTAAACACAAAATAGTTTGGGATGGAAAGCACTAGTAGTTGGAGGGGATTAGGAGAGGCTTCATAGAGAAGGTAGTGTTTGAGTTGCAACTTGAAGGAAGAGAAGTATATTATGAGGAGGCTATGGCGGAATGCATCATAGGTAGGCATACGGGATGGCGAATGAAAAGGCACAGAAAGGGGAGATACAGAATCTTATGTGATGAACAGAGAAGCTAGTTTGGAGAGTGAGCATGTTGGCGGTGGGGGTGTTGTGAGTCAAATGTCCAACGAGCCTAGAAAGATAAATTGGGTCTAGGCTGTGAAGGGCTTTATAAGTCAAAGTTTAAATTTACTTTGAGCCACTGGAGTTTATTGAGTAGGGGAGTAAGATAGTCATATCTGAGCTTAGGGAAAATCACTTTGGCAGCTGTGTGAAGGCTAAATTGGCAGGGGGGAGCCGGTGGCAGCAGGGCAGGGCGGGGCGGGACAGGACTTGATGCAGCAAGGCCAACTAGGAGGAATGATCCAGGAAAGAGGTAATGAGGACCTGAACTAAGATGGTTACTGTGTAAGCTGAGAAAAGGGGTCAAATGCAAGAGATGCTGGGGAAATATAGGTAAGATTAGGCAACTGACTCTCCAAACCATTGAGGATTAGTGCCCAGAATAAGGGAGGTCCGTAGTTTCTGCTGTTCCCTGCCTTGATGAAACCTCTGGAGTATCTTGTTCAACTCTGGATACCACATTTTAAAAAAGGATTCTGTGATATATCCAGAGGATGACCACGATGGCAAAGAACTGGAGAACTTCCTAGATGCTGGGGATGTTTATCCTAGAACAGAGAAAACTTAGTGGAAACATTAAAGCTGTCTTTATCTGAAGGGTTGTGTCATGCGGAAAGGGGATCACTCTTGTTCTCTAAGTCCCAGAAGGCAGTAGGAGCAATGGGTACAGGGTGCAGAGAAGCAAATTTAGGCTTGACAAATGGGAAAAACTTCCTAACAATTAAAACTATCCAAAGTGGAATGGACTGCCTCAAGAGGTGGTGAGTTTCCCTAAGGGGTAGTATCTTTCTCCTCACTGGAAGTCTTCATGTATAAGCTGGATAATATCTAGACACTTCCCACTTTGAATATCTAGGATCCTGTAAACACTGTCTTATAGGACTTTATGAATGACAGTGACATCTAAAGGTTAACATAACCATCAAGTTAATAAATAACTGATAAAAAAGAACTGATGACAATTATCTTAGGTATAATCATAGTAGCAAAGAATGCAAAGATCAGAGATATCTTTTGCTCTATCAGTTTACACATCAATGTAAATGGAAACTTTTTGTGGGGCTATACAAGTGGTTAACACACATATTCTTATTTCCTCCCCACCAAATCACTAAAAAATAAGGAGGTAGTAGAGATTGTCAGAAGCAGAGACACAGACCAAGAGAACATGATCATCTCATGGGTCCTGGCGCCAGATGTGGACAAGGCCCTGTGCTAGGCTTATTAGGAAATGTTATCTCCTGTTTCTGGCTCACGTTCTTTACAGCATAAATATATATTTATATACCAAGTTTTACTAATACTAGACCCAAATGGCAATTTGGCAATAATAATTTGGTGACATACTGTTTTTGGGAAAATTATAAATTTGTATGTTCCATTACATATGCATATTTCATATTATAGATATGAAAATGTAATATCATTGCTATAGTTAGTAAAAAGCATTGATATTTAACATCAAACTTTTAAAAATCTGCATGAAATAAATGTGAAATGTGACAAAATTCAGACTGAAACAAAAATGACATTCATTAGGTAACATTTGGGTTTGGCACTTGCCAAGCACTAAACAAAGTAGGTTAGACAGTGTCTGTCTCTCACCTACCTGAACTCCCTTACCCAGAATAAAGGATTCCACACTCTGTTCTATGAGGCACTGGTAAAAGCGGCAGCGGCGGCAGCAGCAGCAGCAGCAGCAGCAGCAGCAGCAGCAGCAGCAGCAGC